CGCCTCGGTCCTCTCTTTTACAACGCTTATATTTTTGACATTAATACACAAATAATCAACGCCAAACACCTACTTTGTGCCGACGACAAAAAGATCTACATGCATGTGTGTTCCATTGCCGACGTGAGCTCATACAACAAGACATTAACAATTTGTACAAATATTATATTAACAACAGAATCACAATTAGCATTGGTAGATGTCAATGCATTAGTTTTACCCGCAAACGCAATCCTGTTATATTTCCGTACCATTTTAATGGCGCTTTAATTGAGAGAACCCAAATTGTACGGGACCTGGGTGTTTTATTTGACTTCAAGATGCTTATGTCTTGTCACGTAAGCAGCATTGTTAACAGGGCACACCGAAACCGGGGCTTTGCAACGCGAACGTCAATCTTTTAAATGTGCGATTAGCCTTCAAGTTTTGTATTCTGCATATGTCCGCAGCATATTGGACTATACCAGTCCTATATGGTCACCACACTACGACAGTTACAGTAATCAAATAGAACGCATTCAAAGGAAGTTCTTAAAACATTTAAATTTCAAATGTAGGATAATTTACAATCATTTACCTTACATCAATATCTGTCGTACGTACAATTTATTGCCTCTTCAAGAACGACGCGAGTTGTTCGACATGGGTCTCTTGTTCGATGTGCTCAATGGTCGATTGGACTGCCCCGATTTGGTGTGTCAAATATGCCTACGAGTGCCTGCGCGACGTACTAGACACACTTGTTTGTTTCATGTACCTTTTCATTCTACAAATTATCGCAAAAACGCTTTGTTCACCAGATTAGTCAGGAGCTATAATAATAATTTTAATGAAGTAGATAATAATAATAATAATAAAAACGTTTATTTTCTCCCAACATGTACATAGAATAGATACTTAATAATCATAGGCTAACTTTGGGAGACAGAAGCTCAAACTAGGTTAGACCTGTGCTATGAGTCTCCTGGTCTCCAACACCCGATTACAAATTTCACATCGAATTATATGTAATTACAGGGATGACAAAATAAAATAAAATAAGACAACAAAAATTGATCAAAATAACAATAATACTCTAGTGATAAGTGTGTGTGTGTTTTTGTGTATGTATGTGTGTGTGTGTGTGTATGTGTGTGTTTGTGTATCAATGCCTATGTACGCATAAGTGGGTGTTGTGAGAATATTTGATATCACAACACTCTTAGGAATCATACAGCAGAGGACACTAGTAAATCCTCAGTCGCCTCGTAGTCTAGTTTTATAAGCCAGTTTGAAACAACTCTTTTGCACTCCCTTCTTGTTTTGGGGTAGATATAACACACTTTGTTGAACTTATTGTAGAGTCTACCACCTTGATACACCGTCTATTATCTGTATAAAAACACTCATTTCAATCCAAAATCAAACTCCACATTATTAAACGCAATACGTAGCTAATTGTTAAATTTTATCATAATCATTATGTATACTATTATCAGGATAATCTTTATGTTATACATAATACGTATGTGTGCACAATGTTTATGTGTGTATGTGAGTTTATATATATATATATATATATATTTAGTAAATGTATATATACGTATGTATATCCAATATGTATCATTATTATTACTATTATATCATCTACTTTTTTTATTATTCTAGTTACTAGTTTGTTGACTGTGCTCAGTCATTCTTAAGTATTTAGATTTCGCTCTCGCATGTAAGAAAGAAAGAAAGAAAGAAAGAAATGTAATTTATTCAGCACAATACACGTGGAGTACAATATTAATAATTAGTATTAAAAGTGTATTAATGCACTGAAAAGGACCCAACTCAGCTAATGCTGCGGCAGGGCCACAGCGCTGGTTTTCAGTGGACCCTTTTCGAAAATGCCGATTAAAAGAAATAAAAATATATGAATAAAATAAAAACAAACGTGGACGCGAGTTAAATAAAAATTTTAACATGAAACAATATAATTAAATAGAAAACATAACACAAATTTTAGCTAATGTCCCAACAAAGATTCACTCTGCTTTTTCTTTTTAATTTTGTGTTTTCAGGCGCATTACACAAATAAAATTGTTCCAGACGTGTTTTGTGGATTTAGAATGTGCTCTTTGAGTTGACATTTGAACGCATAAACGGATTGTGAAGAACGCATTGGTGGCGGTATGTTGTTCCAGATTTTCGCCGCGGAATATTTAAAACTGCCTTTATATGACGAAGTTTTGTGTTTTGGAATGCAGAGTGGAAACCTGCAGGTGCGCGGTCTATTAGTCCATGTGAGACGTTCATGGAGGTAAAAAGATTTTTTGCTTTTTATCACTCCAAATAGAAGCGTGGCTAAATGGGAGTATCTTCGCGACGACATGTTTAGTGTTTTAGCTTCATTCAGAAACGGAGATACGTGACTTCGCGGTGGTACACGAAAACAAAATCGAGCGCATGCATTTTGCACTCTCTGCACTAGTCTTTTCGTTTTTACCAAAAGTCGCGGACCGTACACTACGTAGTTTAATCTAGAGAGTATTAGGGAATCACAATGGCGTATGCGGAGCTGCTCACTAAGAAATTCATGCATCTTATATAGTACTTTAAGCCGGAAAAAACAGTTTCGAGTCACCTCCAGTATATGCGATTCAAATCTTAGGGTATCGTCCATTAGTACTCCAAGATACAACACTTCCTATCACAATATTGGGATGTTTATTCGCTATCCTAGTAATCTGATTCACAGAACCCATGATTAGGTATTTAGATTTACTAGGGTTTAGTACGAGACAATTTCTGCGGGACCACTCAACTATACTATTTAGATCTTCGTTAATTTTTTCTACCGCAGACATTGTGTTCTTAGGATCGAAGGACAGGTACAGCTGTAGATCATCCGCGTAGATCTGATAGCTACAATGTTTAATACAGCTTATTATATCAGCGCTGTAAAGAATATAGAGCAGAGGGGATAAAATTGACCCTTGAGGGAGGCCTCCCCTATCAACCAAGCATAAGTTAGATGAGTTCATCGAACCATCCAAGTTACGAAGATCAACTCGCTGAGAACGGTTATTGAGGTAGCTGTCAAACCACTTTAATGCTGATGCAGAAAAACCATAAAATGCTAGTTTGGTTAAGAGTAGCGAAATATTTATACAGTCGAACGCCCGGGAGTAATCGAGCATCACCAAGATCGTGTCTTGTCCGCAGTCCTGTGCTTCAAGAATACTTGACGTGACGTCCAATAAAGCTGTAGAGGTACTGTGTTCCTTTCGAAAACCTGACTGTTTATCTGGCACAATAGATTGGCATTCCATAAAATCTGCAAGCTGTCGACTAACTACCTTTTCCAGTATTTTGGATATACACGGCAGTATGCTTATGGGGCGAAGATCTTTAAAATTACAAGGATTATCTGTTTCCAAAGGTCGGGGTAAGTGCATGAAAATATGGAAGTATTTACAATAAGTGTAATAATGTTTAAACAATAAGGGGATGTCATTTTGATCATTTCGAGGGAAATACCGTCAATTCCTAAAGCGTTCGAATGAAGTCCGGACATCAGTTTTGAAACATCCTCAACCGTGACACTATCAAGAACGAAACTAGCGGAACCGTAGCGGTTAGTTTTGAAATAAGTCAGATCAGATGGACTCGCAGAACCTGAACCCGGCACATCCAAGAAATAGTCATTCAAATCATTAGGTTTTAGTAGGTTTTTCGGAAAATTTATCTCACATTTAGGCGGCAGAATATATGACTTTATTTCTTTCCAGAGCGTTTTGGGTTTGTGAATTTGATTGTTTATGTTATATTTAAAATAAGCGGATTTTTCATTTATTAGGGCCGCGTTTACTAAATTTTTCAAATCCTTGTAATATTGATGATGAATGTCATTTCTCGTTTTCAGATATCTCATGTGAGCCTCATTTCTAAGTCTCATCATACGTTCAATGGTATATGTTATCCATGGATAAGACTTTTGTTTGAAAGTAACTTTCCTTACTGGGGCGTGGTGATCAAACAATAGAATAAAAAAGTCATTGAAAGCTGTTACCATATCGTTTACATTTGTCATAGACCAGATTAGACTCCAAGGCACCATCGCAGCATCCGCGTTAAACTCATCAAGATTAACCCTTTTTAGCGGTCTGTAGGTTACTAGTTTAGGCTGTATTTTAGGTTTTCTAAGACTAAAAGTACACGTTATGTATGCGTGGTTTGCCATCTTACTACCTATAACATCCGCTGTCACACTTCGGACATGGGCATCTGAACAAACAAGATCAATCAGGCTCTCACTATGGTCATTGAAATGTGTCGATGTAGAAACTACTTGTTTGAGATTAAAAACAGCCAAGAAATTTAGTAGCTTAGTTGCATTTGCAGAGTATGGTTTAAGTAAATCATCATGTAATTAGAGGATAACTATTTTGGCTTTGTTCTGTTTAGTATCATCTAAATGTAATCTAGTAATAATAAGCTGTTGTTATCCCGAATAAAATAAAAATAAAATAAATTAGTAAATTAATTAAAATATTTATAGCCGGCAAACTAAATACTTGCCCAGAAGTAGAAGCTTTGGTGTGAGAACTGAGAGACCGCACCTTAGGTGGTATAGCTTTTTTATATATGCTTTACAAATTCCAGGATGCGTTTTACAAAATGCTTTACAACTTGTACTAAACATTTGAGTTATTATAACTGGCAAAAATCATGTGGGCCCTCAGTCCACACACACATAAATTATTGGCTTACGTCTTATTAATGCACATCAAGTGCATAAGTGACAGAGACCCATTTAGATTTCCCTCGAATCAACCCTATAGCTAATAATTATTAAATGCGACAAACGGTAAAAATCTAGTTCCGGAGTATCTTCACCCCAAACACACCGATCAAAATCAATTTAAAACAATATTTTTCCTAAATCTGTACTGTCGCAAATCAAACCCGGGATCTCCTTATTTAGCGCCAAGAGCACTAATCGATGGGCCACAAAGGTCGTTAAAACTAGCTCATAACTTCACTTCTGTCTCAGGAAGCATGACAACTTTAGATGCCTCATCTCCTTTTTCAAATTGTTCATCATCTTTGAACCTTCCATAATTAAAATACTCCTCAATTTCCTGCAACGTCCTATCTTTGGTCTCTGGCACTAAAAAGTACAATATCGAGAGTAACACCGCCATACTACTTCCAAACACTGCAAAAGTTCCATGTACCTTAACATTAACCAGTAGAAAGGGAGTCACGTGTAGTGCCAAGTACAAAGCGCACGATATAATGACCCCAAGAAGCGCAGATCCTGCTGCTCTGTGAGGTAAAGGTAAAATTTCTCCAAAAAATGCCATAGCAATTGGTGTACATCCCAAGTTCACTAACACAAAATACACCACGAACATTGAAATGGGAATCCAATGTCTGTCTCTCGATATCACATCCTTTGATGCAAGAAACAGGTAAGTACAAGTAATAGCAATTGTAATAACTGCTGCCCACCCCGTGGCAAAGAGTAATGTTCGTCTTTTCATGATTTTTATTAAGAACGAAGTAAATGTAGCGCTTAAGGTGATAATTAGGTCCATAGCTAATATGTAGTAAAAAGAATGGGAATTATTTTTACCCGTTACTTCTCCTATGATATCTAACGCGTAAGCAGGAAAAAAATGTCTTCCAGATACTTCCAAAAGCAAGGTACCGGAAATTAATATAAGAATCGGAACTAAAAAGTCTCTTCTTTTAAATTTCTTGAAGAAATCTACAATGTTTTCCGTTAGAGTTGTGACTTTCTGATTGTCGACCTTATTCATTTGTGATCTTATTAATTCATTAAGTTCCTTTTTTGAATTATCGTCACGTCCTCTAAGCCAGAAGAAAGATTTCTCAGCTTTTCCAAACTCCTTTTTAAATGCCAAAAAAGCAGGTGTTTCGTGCCAGGTCATGACGTTTAACAACGCAAGAATATGAGGTATGATAGCTAACAAAGCTATCGTTCTCCACGAAACATAGTTACCGAGTAAATGTACAATCGTACTGCCCAGACATACCGAAACTGACTTAAGGTTCAGGAATACTCCTCTAAGGTTCGGACTTGAACATTCACCAATGACAATGGCTCCAAGACCAGGTGTAGCTCCCACTGTGATACCACATAGAATCCGTCCAATTAAAAATGCCGCTACTGAGGATGCGTAGTAGATTGATGTCCAACCGATCATTCCGGGCAGGATTAACAACATATTTGTGACTTTTCGTCCCCAACGATCCATAAAGGCGGATGCCAGAAAATGTCCTGGTATTGAAGCCAGGCCAACACAGGACGCTGCAAAATAAAAGTAATAATAATAAATTACCATTTATAGTTATACTAAATACTAGGTCTTTAATGAAGGTATACACTAGTTTTACTAACTACAAGCCAGCATAACAATGCGATAAGTATGTGACATGTGCTAGACAACTTTATCAATTACATGGTTTCAAAGTAGGGAATTCCTTGTGCTATGAATACCAGAGTGTTTAGATTTAGAAATCTGTCTGTTTAGAAATCAGTAACGCCTTCTTCAAAAATAATATTAAAATATACATTGCAAGGAATTTGGAGCTTTAAACACGAATATATTTATAACGGAACTAAAAAAATTTAAAATTAATTAGAGTCATCTTTGGAATTAACACTTGATGAGGGTTTATTCGCAATTCCAATGTATATATATTTTAATAGTATTTTTGAGGAAAGCGTTACTTCAGGTTTCTAAATCTAGAACATAAAGTAACGGCATTCTCTCTGGGATACTTCTCAGAACACAGAAACCAGTATTCTGCGCTGTCATTACTGAATATTTGTAGCAGGTTCACACCAAAAACCGTAATGTGCATACTTAGTACTCAGAATCCACATGATTTCAAGGTGGGTACTGTGTGGAGTTGCCTCTTTTTCGTCGAAAAAAGATCCTTTATTTTGTAGTAAGTATGGAATATTACTGAAGTCCGTATTTGCCGTTTCTTCCCACGATTTTGTGCAGAAATGAGTTAAGATTTGGTACTGTGGGTGAAAACCCGGACGGGCTGATTGGGTTTTAACCCACTACCGATCTCTGTATATATGTCATGTTGTGGTCACGTTATAACGTTTATTTTCCTCAATCTTTCGGTGATATGGTAAAGAAGAGCTTTAATAGTGACAAAAAAAAACAAAATTTGACGCAAATTCCGTGTTTTAACGCCTATATTTCCAGTCAACAAAACAAAGGTTCGCTTCTTAAATATTCCGTAGTATCACCTTAGATGGTCCCCTTATGAACGATGCCACACGCACGTGCGGCATCACTCTTAGAGTAGGTTCTTACGTTCTTACCAATCCACGAAGCAGTGTGTAGATCAACCTCCACAGGAGAATCAGGTCCTTGTAAGGCCGGCATCAGGCTGAACGCGTAGCTTACCACAACGCCTTGAGCCATCATGTTTACAAGGACTCCTGACACCACCCATACCTGAAGTAATACGATTTTAAACATTGAAGTTAATAATTATGTCCTGTTTGTCACCTGTCTGTTTACGTCTTAGACTATGGAAATGTTTTTCCATCCTCTAAGGTTTACGTAACAACCTGACAACCAATGATTACAACAAAAATTGAAAAGTTTATTTTTGCTCAACGTATTAGGCAGTATGGTCTCTGACCTTCGCCTGTTCCATGCGGAACGAAGAAAAACAAAAAAATGTTTTGTAGAAAGTTATGGAACAAAGGTGTTGTTTATGGTGTTACGTTCAAAGATTCAAAAACTCTTGTCACAAGCCCGCTTCAAAGACATAACCACGATGCAAGCGCGTAACATTTAGCCTTTTTTTATCCATCCTCTAAGCATTTAGCACGTCTCAAGATCACAAAAATATCTTAGGCTAAATCATTAATTATTTACATAATGCATTTACATAACCAAATGCAAAGATCTGAGCGTACCCTTATTTTTTTTTTCATCCTCTGTCAATATACAAACACATAAAATATATTAGTTTAATAATAATAATAGAAATAGAAATAGAAATTATTTATTCAATGTAAAGCACAGCACACATACAATTTACAAACAAAACAAAAACATAAAAAATAGAAGAAAGAAAGTAATCTTTCTTTCTTCTATTTTTTATGTTTTTGTTCTCCCTTATGGGAGACAGGATGTGTGCTGTGCATTCTGTGAAATAAATTAAATACATTAAATGTCATTCATTTCAAGTGAAGAGCATTTTTTACAACGCGTAAGGTGAAAATATTTGTCAACTTTATAAAATAATAATAATATCTTTATTTATCTCCACAATACAAAACGAAGTAACCACACAGTTGAGAACATATTTTTACATACGCTTAGCCGCTCACGCGATACATGCAGCCGTAGACGCATACCACACCTAGAGGTGCCGGTGATGATTTTATACCGATTTATCGGGTATCGAAGTTATAACAGGTAAAAGAATTAATATTAATTGCTATTTCGGTAACTACTCTAGCAAACCATAAAGTTTTTAATGCCTGGGTCTGTCATTTAAAAAAATAAACAACTTCAAGAATACGTCACGACAATCGTATGTGTTATTGTTTGGGCTGGTGATTTCGGTGTTTATTCATTGAAAACATACCGTAAGTAGCGTTTTTTAAGTTTACCCTGAATATAAATGTTTATAAACTATACTTTAAGGAGTAATTTCATGGTAAACGTTAGAACCACTCAAACGGAATATTATCATATTTATTCAAGTACACCAAAAATTTTATTAGTGCTTTTTAAGTGCAGGATTTGCGGTGTATTACTGCATTCTATTTGAGATGTTTTTGTTGGTAGTAAGGAGGGTATTTATTTAGCAATGCAGAATAATAATTTGTATGTATAAAAACTTGTATTTAAACTGAATCCTTTTCTATTTTGCGAAATCAAATAGCCGCCATTTTGCGGTAGGAGGAGCGCATCGCGTGAGCGGTTTTAGTAATGTATTGTGGGAAACTGGAGTCCAAACTAAGCAGAGCTTGTAATATAGGCCTCCAAGCACCCAACCCCTAGGATGTCATGTTAGTGGTATTGACTATGAATGAATGCATGAATGAAATATTCTTTATTGCACATAAAATTACAATTAAAATAGCTTAAGTATAATAGTAGTAGTAAATCAATGTGCAACAGGCGGCCTTATTGCTTTGTAGCAATTTCTTCCAGTCAACCTTAGGATAGACATTTCGGATATGCAAAAGGGGTGCAACCAAAGAATATCATCATAAGTACACTACATAATAAGTAATAATAAAAATATATACATATCCATAGATAGATATACATATACATACAAATAATAATAATATTATTAATACATACATAACAATAAATACACAATAATATTAAATGCTTATATACTTTTAAAGGAAAAAGAAAAATGAAGTATAAATGTAAGAAATAAATGAAAGGATAGTAGAGGACAGACGAAATTTAGGAGTTGCGGAAGTGATCCTTGACACGTTGTTTGAAAGAATCAAGAGAAGGGGATCGTCGAATCGATTCAGGGAGAGAATTCCACAATCTGATCGCAGAAATGGTAAAAGAGTTGGAATAAAAGTTAGAGGTATGAGAGGGCAAGTTAAGTAAGAGAGTATCAGAGGAGCGAAGGGGACGACAGAGTGTAGAAGAGTGGAAAGTAAAGCAATCTTTAAGATAAGAAGGAATAGAACAGAATTGAATAGAGAAGTGAAAGGATGTGAAGATCTCTACGCCGATGAATGAGCAGCCATTTAATTTGTGCGCGAAATTGGGAGACATGGTCAAATTTACGTAGTCCGAAGATGAACCTAACACACATATTTTGGAGCCGTTCCAATTTATTGAGCAGAGTTATTGACAAATCTGGCTAGCAAACATCTGCATAGTCCAGTGTCGGGTAGAGAATGCTCTGGGCCAGAGTAATTTTAGTTTTAGTCGGCAAAAAGTTTTTAAGCCTTCTCAGAGTGTTTTTGTTGGTAGTACGAAGGGTATTTATTTAGCAACGCAGAATAATAATTTTTATTTATAAAAACTTGTATTTAAACTGAATGCTTTTCTAATTTGCGAAACCAAATAGCCGCCATTTTGCGGTAGGAGGAGCGCATCGCGTGAGCGGATAAGATCTTGGCAAATAGGCACAACTTAAATATAGGGCGGTAGTTTTCTACATTACTTTTGTCGCCTTTCTTAAGAACCGGGGTAATGAAAGCCGACTTCCAAATCCTAGGAACAATTCCCTCAGACAGTGACCTCTTGAATAATAAACATAATGGTATGGTCAAACTCTCGGCGCATTTGATAACAAAAAGAGAAGGAATCAGATCAGGTCCACCAGATTTAGTTCAATCAAGTGATTTCAAAAGATTAAATACTTTGGGTGGATCAACTTCAACATCGCTTATACTACATAGACCTATATCCGGGTTTATGTTTACAGCCTGGCCCGAAGGTTGACCAGTTACTAAGAAAGTAGAATGAAAGTACTCTGCAAACAAATTACTAATACCCTCACCAGTCTCAGCGCTTACAGATCTATAATTCACAACACTAGGAAAGGTTGAACTATTCCTTTTCGTTTTTACAAACGCCCAAAATGCTTTAGGATTTTCAACAATTGAAGATTCAATACGAAGAATGTACTTAGCAAAGCAGTCCTTCTCGAGATCATTGACTCATTTACGCAGTAAATTAAACGATTGATAGCCAGATAAGTTGCCGTAGGTTTTATATTTAGAGTGATACTTAGATTTTTCTTTAATCGCCTTTATGAGACTAGTATTGAACCACAGCGGATAAGAATAACGCACACACACGCACACACTCAACATAGCCCCGCACTAGGGAAACCCTGTCTCGCGGGTGCCATGGACACACACATAGACAACCACAAATTACACCCAAACTCACGAGAGTAATAATTGTAGGCCATACAACTATTTCTCCCGGCCCGGGAATCGAACCTGGGACCTCTGCGTGGCAGTCCGGCATGGTAACCGTTCGGCCACGGAGGCAGTTAAGAGTTGGACTTAATTCTTTTTTGAGGTATATGTAGGTCGCGAAGGCAGTTAAAAGTTGGACTTAATTCTTTTTTGAGGTATATGTTGGTCGCGAAGGTCATATAATTTATTATAAAAGCAAGTTACTGCATCATCTAATGAACCTGTACTTAAATAATCACCCCAGTTAATACTATTGAGCTCAGATGAAGAATAGAATAGAATAGAATAGAATAGAATCGTTTATTTCATGTTATCAATGTCACAATATTACAATTGGAAATACAATGTCAAGGGATAACTATGATCGTCAGTAATAAAATTATAATAATAATAATGAATATAAAATAAAGTAGTATAACTACTGCTTGTCGAATAAAATAAAACTAAAATTGTTTCAAAAGAAATTCATCGACACTGTACAATTCAATATCCAATAAAAGGATTTTTAGTCGGGTACAAAACGTTTCATCGTTTCTAACACTTTTCAGGTCTGTGGGTAGATGTTCATAGAATCGGGGACCTATTACCCGCGGATTTATAGTTGCAAGTTCGGTACGGTGGGCAACAGATTTTAGTGTTCCCGCGTTTCGTAGCGCTCGGCCTCCTCCCGTACGTCGCTCATAAGTAGCCAAGTTTTGACGCGCATAAACTATTATATCATAAATATATTGTGAGTACATGGTCATTATATTGTATTTCTTAAAAAGGTTTCTGCAGGTCTGACCCTTTTTTATGCCTACTATTGTTCTTAGTGCACGTTTTTGAAGAATAAATACCCTAATCGACTCAGTTGAATTACCCCACAGTGTGATACCATAAGACATCAACGAATGAAAATATGCATAATACGTCTGCCTCAATACCACATTGGAGACAAGAGGACGCAGTTTCCTCAGTGCGTATACAGCACTTCCAAGTTTTTGACATAGAGTTTGTATATGTGACTTCCAGTTCAAATTTGAGTCTAGCTAACGCTAACCTAACCCAAGAATTTACAGGTGTTACATAATGGAACAATGGAGGTGATAATTGCTTTGTTATAGAATTTCTTCCTGAGAATAACATAAGGTTTGACTTCGATTCGTTAAGAATAAGTCCATTCGCAGAGAATGTGAGTGGTTACATTGTTGATGTAATTGCGGAATAGTCACCTCGATTAAAAATATGTTTCATCTGGGTGATCTCTTTTCATTCATGAAATTCAACAAATTCGGCATGTATATCAAGGGACTTATGATGAGGATCCTCCGGAACCAATGGTTTATCACATTTTATTACATTTAGTGTTCCATTTGAAAATACTAAATCCAACATCCGATCATTATGACTACATTCTCCATTAAACTGAATTAAATTACATGTGTCAATGAGATCGAAGAAATCAGATAAGTAAACAGCACAATAATTAACCGGCAACATCATAACTCCGTCACTAGACTTTACCCATTGCACATAACTACCGAAATTAAAATCACCCAATACAATAAATCTATCCAAAGGGCAACTGCAAATCAAATCACTAAGTTTTTCACAAAAGTTATTTAGTTGTTCCTTGTATGAGTTACCACCCTCCTCATGACATAAATACCTATAACGTACAAATATGCATTTTATATGTAATCGCAGGTCTCTTATGTTTCATTAGTAAAGTAACCCAAACGTCCTCTGCCGA